CTCTTTATCTTTTAGTGTTTTACTCAGATAAAATGTGTAAAGTGTTTTGAGTGAGGAATGAAAACTGATTTGTGTTTCTTTAGACAGTAATCAATTGCCGTGGTATAGTTTAACAGTAAACTTGGTGCTGGGCACATGGCTTTTGAAAAGACTGTACTCAGTGTCTGGATATTTGCATTGTGGCATGGGGGAAAAACATTCTTTGCATTCCAAATATTCAATGACTTCTCTTAATTCTAAATCATTCTCACTGAGGTAAGCTTGCACGGCTAATCTGCCTATCTGTGTTCATTTCCGATTTTTCAGTTATATACATTATACATTTTTTTTAAACACTGCACACTGCTGTAACTGAATATGGACTGCTCAGAAGCAAAGTAAATGTTTACTTATTAAGCAAGTAAAGGAAATCTTGGTTACCGCCCTTGAAAAACTAAGTGAGGAATTTCATGCAATCTGTAAACTCAGACAGGGGTTCCCACCCTATTTTTTTGACATGAGGTTGTGTCATCTAGACTAAGAGTGCGGTTTTGAACATCAGTTAGAAGATTTTACATTAAAAATTTGTTTTCTTTTAATAGATCTGAGATTGAGCTCTGATCACTAATTTATTTGCTGTGTTAAGACTTCTTAACTAATTATTGAAATAATTGCAGATCAAAGTATGTAGCTGTCATTTTTCTTTTTGATTTGAGAGAGAGAGAGAGACTGAGTGTGTGTGTGCTGGTTAGCATTAGAATGTTGACTTTGTACCCTATTGACCGTAGAGTTTATTAGCAATACCCTCGTGTTGTAAAAGAAGCATTTTGTTTTCGTAAGAGTTTAAAGCATTAATAGTGCCAATACCTTTTAAAACTGCAGAATCTGATTACTCTGAGCTGATGAAAGCATGATTATCACAGGAATTTTCAAGCTGGAGAAGTAACCCCAACAAAATCTAATCTACCATGTTTATGCATTTATATTTGTTTATTGACCAAATACAGGTTGAACTTGGCTGTGAATTCACATACTTCATCCTCATCCTGCCAATTTCCTGTATCAATGTTTGGATTTAGTCCCCAAAAGAGTGGAATACATAGCCTCTAATATCTGTCATCATATAGTAAAGATTAGAAGCAAAGCATAGATTTCCAGGGAGACACTGATATACATGAATGGAAGCAGTTTTTTAAAAAAAAAACAAACAAAAAAAAAAACCTCTTGCATAGATAAAATGTGTTAGCTTCAGTTGGTGTTTGCCTAAATCATGCTTTCTAGAAGATTTATTTATGGTCAATTTGTAATACTTGTTCTGAGGGTATGAGCTATGTACACATATTTCTATAGTGCCTTCTGTTCAGGGATCTCCTAGCCATTTAAAATCAAGCTTCATATATCTGTGTGAGGAAAATGAGTTAATATTCCCAGTTTGCAGATTGGGGAAAGAATGTGAGACATCACTTGTTCAGTGGGGCTCATGGAGAATATATCAGAGGAGACTAGAACAGGGGTGGGCAAACTTTTTGGCCTGAGGGCCACATCAGGGTGCAAAACTGTATGGAAGGCCAGGTAGGGAAGGCTGTGCCTCCCTAAACAGCCTGGTCCCACCCCTAACCGCCCCCCCGGGACTCCACTCTCTATCTAACCCCCCCACTCCCCATCCCTGACTGCCTCCCCCCGAACCTCTGCCCTATCCAACTGCCCCCTGTTCCCCATCCCCTGACTGCCCCCTCCCGGGACCCGCCCACCCCAACCGCCCACCAGGGACCCCACCCACTATCCAAATGCTCCCTGACTGCCCCCCCAAAACCTCCTGCCCCTTATCCAGCCCCCTTACCATGCCACTCGGAGCAGCATGTCTGAGAGCCTTGCTGGAGCCAGACGCGCTGCCCTGCATGAGCGCGCAGCCCCACTACCCAGAGCTGCAGGGGAGGGGGGGACAGTAGGGGAGGGGCCAGGGGCTAGCCTCCCTGGCCAGGAGCTCAGGGGCTGGGCAGGATGGTCCGTGGGCTGTAGTTTGCCCACCTCTGGACTAGAACCTAGATTTTTATTTATTTATTTTTGTCCTAATCCTGTTCAACTGCTGGACAGGCTCCCACTATGTGCGTACCTACATATCTGTATGCTTGAGGGGCAGGATCGTAGCGACCAAGATTTTCAAACATGGGTAGTGACTTTGAGTGCCCAACTTGAGATACCTGAAAGGAGCCTGATTTTCAGAAAGTGCTGAGCCACTCAACCTCTGAAAATCAGGCTTTATTAAGTTGTCCCAAGTTGGGAACACGAAAGCTGAAACATTCAGAATCACTTGTCAAGTTTGAAAATCTTGCCCAATATCCTATATATTTCATCCTTCAATATGTAAGACACTACTCTACGCTTTCATAGGAACCATTATACTGTGTCACACATAGTGAACCAAATACCACACGTGTTGTTCTTTCACATCTATTTGGGGACTTCTGTGTGTCATCTAAAGCAAATTTAAATATCCATGGCTCACTTGATCTAGAAATGTATAGCATTTTTCTTGCTTCTTTTCTATGCTAGCCTAACAGAACATTCATATTGAAGTTCTGCTTTCCCACTGATTTCTGTAGCTATCATTAACTGCTCAGTAAAGACCAGTATTGGAAACCAAGTAACTCATCAGTAGCCAATAAAGGACACACTTGACTTAGGAAAAAAAATCAAAGGGAAAATATTCTACAGTGTTAGATTTGCAAAAAGAAAAGGAGTACTTGTGGCACCTTAGAGACTAACCAATTTATTTGAGCATAAGCTTTCGTGAGCTACAGCTCAGCTCACGAAAGCTTATGCTCAAATAAATTGGTTAGTCTCTAAGGTGCCACAAGTACTCCTTTTCTTTTTGCGAATACAGACGAACATGGCTGTTACTCTGAAACCAGTGTTAGATTTACAATCCTGCCTCGTTTTTTAAGCAAGCCATAGTTTGTTCGGCCTCAATGAAGGGGACCCGGAGAGAAGTTATATTCATTGAAGAGAAGTGTGACATAATTGGATGCAGCCTCCTGGTTGGAGAGGTACCATAGTAAGCAGGTGAGAAGGCCACTCTGACTGTTCCATAGGTCATTAGTGTCCATCAGAATGGGCTTGTAGCAGAGGTTCTGTCTCTTGTCCCCGCCCAGCATCTATGAAAGGTCCCCTCTCCAGCTGTGTCAGCTGTGGGTGGCTTTTCTTGCTCTCAGCTGTCTGTGAACATCTTTCCTTTCATCACAAAGTGAGATGCTACAACTAGTGCAAATGACAAATAAAGATCTGTACCTTGAAGTGTGAGTTTGCTGCACAAGCTCTGTGCATTTCCCATTGCAGCCGGAGAGGGGAGAGTGAACAGCTAGGACCAGGGAGGAGCATATGGCTCGTCTGAGGGAGCATGCAGCTGTGGAAGAGCATGAGACCCAGAGGCGATGGCAGGGGGTCAGTATGCTTTTGTAAAGGAACCCCCAACCGTAGAGCACAGAGCAAGGTGCCGCTCCTGCCAGGCATGTACACTACTGCTGAGATGCTACTCTATGGTTTGTTCTCTGAAATAAGTTCAGTTGCCAGTGGAAGTCTTGTAGGCAGTGTTGTTGTAGCTGTGTTGATCCCAGGATATTAGAGAGACAAGGTGGGTGAGGTAATATCTTTTATTGGACCAACTTCTGTTGGTGAGAGAGACAAGAAGAGCTCCGTGAGGCTCGAAAGCTTCTCTCTCTCATCAACAGAAGTTGGTCCAATAAAAGTTATTACCTCACCCACCTTGCCTCTCTAGTGGAAGTCTTGAAATCTCAGTCCAAGAGCAGTGAGGAAGCTGCCTGTGCACTAGTATGCCTAAGTGGTTGGGCCTGGGTGGAATAAAGGTGTCCCAGAGATGTGGCTAGGGGAGAGGACCGTGTTAGGACACTTTCCATCCCCAAAATGAGTCACCTTGCAAGTACTCCCTCCACTGGGGCATCTCCTGCTCTAAGCTGGTATTGATAAATAGTTGTGGCCAGTCTAGGGAAATTCCTGAGGAGCTGTGCATGTATTTTCCTTCTCCTGTGTCCATGGCAATGGCAACAGTGACCTTCAGGTCAGGAATTTCCTGGTGTTTAATTGCTGCATTAAAGAGCCTTGTTGACTTTACCTGAGGCCCTTAACCCAGCCAGTCATTAGTGTCCAGGAAATGCTCTCTCTGTCAGTCATTATAATTTCTCTTAATTTGAGCTGAGACAACCTTATTAGTGTGTCCTCAATTAAACAGAAGAACAACATAGATTTGAGCCCCAAATAATTTAGAACACATTTCGAATTAGTTAATCTCATCCAAACAGTGTACCAGAAAGTTACCACCTTGCCAAAACAATACATCGGTAACTTATTTGTTAGGAGCCAGGCCCCGTTGTCAGAGGCCACATGCAACAGAAAAATGAGTCAGAATAGCGGGCAGCAGCCCAAGGATCAGCTGATGGTTGATGGCTGCCTGCCTACTTGGCTGTCATGGAGTCGGAAGTGGGAGGAAGACAATTGCCTATCCCATGGGGACCAAATGGATGTATCTGTCCCAGGAGTAGGGACAACAATTTAGTGGATCCAGATAATTAAGACTAAAATTTGCCTTAATTCTCGGTAGTCATTAGTGATTCTCCTGTAACTTTTTAGTCATTTGAGTTCATTATATTACTTAGAAGATTTGTAAGCACCTTCTCCAGCAATGTAACAAACCAAAGTCCAAGGTAAACTATGACACCCTTTTGATTCTATTCCTGGCATATAGTGAGATAACGAAACTCCTTGTGGAATGTACGAAATGCTTTGTACTCTGATCTTCTAGTTCCCACCCATTTATAATCATGGCATTTTTGCCCGTAGTCATTTGTAGCTAAGATTTTAGAAGGGTTGAACAGTTATTCCTTTAGGCTTGTCTGTTGGACTGAGCTTGGATGAGCACTATTCCGTATAAGAAGCCTTTATAATTTATAGTTAGGGTTTTTATTTTGATCAAGCTACCGACCATCATTTTCTGTTTACGCCATTAGACTGAAGGAAGACTGTGTGCTGCTGAAGAAAACAACCACCTGGATCAGGACTGAAAATAAGGTTTGAGGAAAAAATGCTTGTTGTGGTTTCAGAGATAATTTGTCTTTTGTCAGTCTTTCAGAACTCATTAATAGCTGTCTAAGCTATGTCTGTATTACTGAGGTAAATTAGTGTATTAGCCTTGTTTAAGTGACCATGCTAATTTAAAAAAAAAAAGTCTTCTTTTGTTAAATACCAGTCAGTGAATTTTGACTTTTTGTGGCTTTGCAATGCATTTATGAACTAGTCTTCTTATGACTTTGTTTCGTATTCAACATATTCAGATACCACAAGCAAACAAATGTCCGTCAACATAAGGTTGTAAATTGGTATTTGACCTTCAGAATTAGTTATGCAACTAGTGGATTTGACCACATGTTCAGCAAGAACTATATGTATTTGGTCAAATTCTTTTAAAAGTTCTGTGAATGCTAATGTTGTGGAATACTGGCCAGTCATGCTGAAGCCCTAGTATTTGCAAAACATTTTACAAATGATTTTTTTCACTATTCAGCCAGCTCCAATAATAAATACTGTAGCTCTGTTTCAGTGCATTTCTGCTTAAGCTGTTCATTCAAAGCCTGATTTGAACGATACAGGAGGCAAGTGAATAGTATATGTTTGTATCGTAGTCGGCTATATGTGGCACTTCCTGTTTTAATAGTCCGTGGGACATGGGAGAACCTTTTACTGTAAAATGACTCATCTTGTTCAGGAATATATATATATTTTTTTAATGTGACATTTAGAGAACATTTTCAGATTTGGATTCTGGGCCAGCATAAAATGTCATGGAGTGACACACTATGATGAATCTGAGTTCTCGATGAAAACAGCAATGACAATGTTAATATAAAATGTGCAAAACATCTAGCAAATCCATGGTTTCAGCTTGAAATTGAGTGGACAAAAAATATATTTTTCTGATTAAATTCTGCGAGTGGGCGTTAATGATTTTCAAAATGCTGAAAGAATCTGTTCTGTAGCCTTTTTGTTCTTGGCATCTCCAGCTGTATTACAACAGCTCAAATTCTGTTTCACTTCTGTGCTCTAAGATTTTACCCTACAACATTTCGACTAAATGGTTTCAAACTCTTTCAGTATTCTACAATAGAAAATAAAATTGTTAATTCACAAACAGAATAATTTATTTTTTGATAGATTTAAAAAATATTAAAATCACTGAGGATAATATGGATATTTTTAAAATGCCTCAAGGTCAATAAAACTATGATCTGTGCAAATGACTGTCTTTCTTATTTGTATTTAAAAACTCCATACCAAAGAATTCCCAGACACTGCACTGAGTGCCCTGGATTACGCATGCGTTTCATAGTACAGATACTGAGAATGTGCCAGAGAGTTGTGAGCAGAGTTAAAAGGGCTGAGTTAAATGTGACCTGAAGGAGAATGGGGAAAAATAGGTATGCTGCTTTTTAACAAGGTGGTGGGGGTTACAGAAGCTTTTTTATATAATGAAGGCTTGAGGAAACGGATTTAAAGAAAAAAAAAAAACTGGTTTGCTTTTTAACCTAGTTAGCAACTCAGTCATCAGTTGTCTTCTCATGAAGAACAGGGTAGGCCAAACCTGAATCAGCACACCTTTTATTCTAAGGAATCATCTTAGGTTTTCAAGAATGGTCTGTGGTTAAAGCACTGGACAGGTGCATGTCAGATCTGGGTTGAGTTCCCAGCTATGTTACCGATTTTCTGTCTGACCTTAGGCATGTCACTTTTGCCTCTGAGACTCATATTTCCCCCAGACTTATTTCCCTTTGTCACAGTGGTGATCTGTTTTAAAATTTATTAATAGTGAGAGGCCCTCAGGTAGTAGTGTTGGGAATTGTGTAAATGCCCTGGTAGAATTTAAAGAATCAAATAAAAAAGCACCATACTCTTTCCCCCCCCACCACCCCACCACAGACTTTGCAGGTAGGAAAAATCTTCAGATTCCCAAAGTTTCTAGCATTTTCTTTAAAGGTTAACTTACTACTACTGTGTTTCAGGGAGCACTATATTCTCAACCATTTTTGCATATTAATGGCGTTGTGTGTGGGACATAATTACAAAAATAATCAGACTGGCTATTCATTTCCATGATTAACTGAGGAGACAACACAGATAAAACTGGTAATTATATTTATTTAGCTGAAATCTATGGGGGAGGGGGGAATTGATGACATAAGTGTGGGGAGGAAGTAGTAGTCACCATTTTCAACTACTTTAAGCACACACAGGTGAGCAAGCCTACTATTTCAGGCAGCTGTCCAAACACCATGAGTTGGTTTAGCAACTGTAGTATTTAACATTTTGGTACCTGGACTGTCACAGGCTGTTAAAAGCCCAGATTTGATGCATCTGTTTTTTAAACGTATTTTCAAAGCCTTTGTCATTCTTTGTGTTAAGCAAATACTGTTGAAAAGCTCTAGGTAATAGGTATATAGTTTATAAAGATGGATACAAATGAGGCTCTTATTTCTATATATATTTTTTTAAAACCAGAATCCTTCTGTAGTAACAGATCTATGTGAATGTGCAATGGAAGAAGAATATTTTGTGATTAGAAATACTTTTTCTAATGAAGTTGTTGGAAACAATGAAGGGAGTGTGCATATGTTGGCGACTCTGCCATTTTGACAAAATGGCAAATTCCAAAACCTTTGCGTTAGTGGCTGAAAAAGGGCATGATTCTAGACCGAAGTCCTAAATAGATTTTTATAAAGCAAGCAGTCAGTCAAATTACAGTGCAGAGAATCCTGTGTGATGATGACACAAAGATGGATTACAAGCTATCAGGAATAGTATCCATGATAAAGTCACAGCAAACCTGGTGGCTGAACTTTGTGACTTTTGTCCTCACCCACAACTATTTCACATTTGGGCACAATGTATACCTTCAAATCAGCGGCACTGCTATGGGTACCCGTATGGCCCCACAGTATGCCAACATTTTTATGGCTGACTTAGAACAACGCTTCCTCAGCTCTCGTCCCCTAATGCCCCTACTCTACTTGCGCTATACTGATGACATCTTCATCATCTGGACCCATGGAAAAGAAGCCCTTGAGGAATTCCACCATGATTTCAACAATTTCCATCCCACCATCAACCTCAGCCTAGACCAATCCACACAAGCGGTCCATTTCCTGGACATTACTGTGCTAATAAGCGATGGTCACATAAACACCATTCTATACCGGAAATCTACTGACCGCTAAGCTTACCTACATGCCTCCAGCTTCCATCCAGGACACCCCACACGATCCATTGTCTACAGCCAAGCTCGAAGATATAACAGCATTTGCTCCAGTCCCTCAGACAGAGACAAACGCCTACAAGATATCTATCAGGCATTCTTAAAACTACAATACCCACCTGCTGAAGTGAAAAAACAGATTGACAAAGCCAGAAGAGTACCCAGAAGTCTCCTACTATAGGACAGGCCCAACAAAGAAAATAACAGAACGCCACTAGCTGTCACCTTCAGCCCCCAACTAAAATCTCTCCAGCGCATCATCAAAGATTTATGACCTATCCTGAAAAATGATCCCTCACTCTCACAGATCTTGGGAGACAGACCAGTCCTCACTTACAGACAGCCCCACGACCTGAAGAAATACTCTCCAGCAACCACACAACAAAAACACCAACCCAGGAACCTATCCTTGCAAGAAAGCCCGATGCAAACTCTGTCCACATATTTATTCAAGTGATACCATCATAGGACCTAATCACACTAACCACGCCATCAGGGGCTTGTTCACCCACACATCTACCAATGTGATCTATGCCATCATGTGCCAGCAATGCCCCTCTGCCATGTACATTGGCCAAACCGGACAGTCTCTACGCAAAAGAATAAATGGACACAAATCTGACATCAGGAATCATAACATTCAAAAACAGGTAGGAGAACACTTCAACCTCTCTGGCCACTCAGTAAAAGACTTGAGGGTGGTAATTCTGCAACAGAAAAGCTTCAAAAACAGACTCCAGTGAGAAACTGCTGAGCTTGAATTAATATGCAAACTAGATACCATTAACTTGGGTTTGAATAGAGACTGGGAGTGGCTGGGTCATTACACATATTGAATCTATTTTCCCATGTTAAGTATCCTCAGACCTTCTTGTCAACTGTCAATCAAGATGGCCCATTTAATCACTACAAAAGTTTTTTTTTTTTTCTCCTGCTGATAATAGCTCATCTTAATCAGCTGCTTAGTTTGTATGGCAACTTCCACTTTCTCTCTCTCTGTGTGTGTGTGTGTATGTATGTATATAAAGATATATACTCTTCTTACTATATGTTCCATTCAATGCATCCAATGAAGTGGGCTGTAGCCCACGAAAGCTTATGCTCTAATAAATTTGTTAGTCTGTAAGGTCCCACAAGTACTCCTGTTCTTTTTGCGGATACAGACTAACACGGCTGCTACTCTGAAACGTGTGTGATGAACTGTTAGTGGAGTTTTGCTCAGTGCTTAATTTGCACCATGGCTGAGCCTCTGCACCTCTAGGATTAGCAGTTCAAAGCCCCGACACCTAATTGCTTGAGCCCCATCACCTCTTTCATTACAAATTAAGCACTAGTTTTGCTATATCAGGACTCCACGATGGCTAAAGTCCTCACTTCTTTTTCCCAGAATTGCCTCCTTTTCCACCTCAAAGTGGAATATTACAACCAAGCTTCAATCTGAGACCATGTTGAGTATGTAGGGTTGGCAGTTAAGTGGGGAAAAAACATCTTTTTGATTATTAATTTTGCACATCTGTCATGAAAACCATTGAGATACAGAACATGGACTCCCAAAAGGCTGTATTTTCAGTCACTTTCTAAAGTGGAACCACATTAGAAATCTGAGATATTAAGCACAGTAGGATCTGGAAATACAAGATAAAGGTGACAGACAACCTTTTACTCTGCCATTGGATTTAGTTGCTTATTTTCTCAAATTTAACCCCTTCACACATTACATCTTTTAAAAAAATGTTCAGGAGTAGGAAGGGCTGAGAGGAAAGTA